CCCCAAAACCCCAAAACCCCAAAACCCCAAAACCCCAAAACCCCGCATGTGGAATTAAGAATTGAAAAGTTCAAACTTCGATTCCAGAATAGCCAGATTGGTCCAAACGAAGGTTCTCGTAAATTATAAATTTTTAAAATTTAAGAACTGAGCAACCAAAGTTCTTCCCTATTGGGATTTAGAATGCTCATTTAGAACACCATTGGTCTTAGCTCTACTGATTTCTTTCTAAGTCTCTTCTTGATCTTTGGTAGTTTTGCCTTCTTGGTGAGCTTAATAGGTGGTAAAATTAAAGTTTTCTCTCACTTGAAGAGTACAGCAGTGGAAGAATCAAGCTTTTTGTTGTTTATTTCAATATCCTTTCCTTGAAACTTGGCTTTAGCAGTTCAGTATCTGCAGAACTTTAATTCACAGTTTTTGCATTCGTAATAAAAGTCACCGGGGTTGTCCTGATGGTCTTCATAAACTGTTTCTCTAGCATGGCATTTCCAATATTTTTCTGATGACTTCCTCAAAAGGGTCTGGTTATGAAATCTAAATTAATAATAAAGAAGGGTTTAAATTTTGATGAAAACAAGATCGGAGGAAGGAATTTTTACCTAAGTATTTTGACCTCATCCCCTAGAAGCTTCTCACCACACTTGTTCTTATGCTTTTCTAGATTCCATGGATGGACCTCGCTTAGTCATAGATCACAGATGGAGAAAATTTTATTGATCCTTTCATTCAATCCTTTTCTGGATCCAAACTGTTTTGGTAATTTATCACACCTGAGTGGGCAGATCTTCTTTAAGCTTGAAACACATGTCTGGCAGATGACGTTCATGCATCAGTTAGAGACAAGTGACGACTTCTTAATTTCAAGTCAGACAATTCACTCAAATTCACTATCTACTTTATCGTCCCAATTCGGCTCTTTAGGGATAAATCTGATCTTTTTCTTAAGTATTAAAGTTGCTGCATCAGCAACCTTTGCTGGTGAGAGTTGTAATGGCTCTCTTCTGAAGATAATTGATGATCTTTCTGGTCTTTCAACTTTTGATGAATTAGTGCAGCCCATATTGTCTTTTTTAAATTATTCAATTGGACCTAGCATTAAAGGGGTTTTGGGGTTTTGGGGTTTTGGGGTTTTGGGGTTTTGGGG